AAGCATTCAGTTAATACTGACAACTATATCCGCTATAGCTGCGAAAACCTAGTCGGTATTTGTAATAGATATCATAACCAAAATAAACCCAGAAAGATTGAATCAACAAGGTGGGTATTGAATGCAAATAACTTAACCTAAGACCTAGTCCTGAATTGGGACATCTTCATTTCTCACAAGCATGACACTATTCTGCAGGAGCAGTCTCGCAGATGATGAGATCACCCACGTGGAATACAGGTAAAGGTAAGAATAATAAATTTACATAATGGAAGACAGAATTAATAGGGACTTATGTGCGCTTAGATGGACCCAGGCCTTGTTTTGGATTCGGAATCATGGAAAAAAGAATTGATCGTTTCCAAATACCTAATCTCATCTAAGCAAAGAATATGAACATAGAGTGGTACAGTACATTACACCTATTGTCAATCTGCCTATTGTTGACTGAAGACTACTCTGCATTTAGGAATAGAGATAAATTGTCCTAAAGTGGTCTGACAATATGTGACGAAGACTAGAGGGGTCTATGTACAAAGCCATAGTAGGGTCCAGGGCACGGCCATTTTTAGGGTCATTTTAAGCTCTTCTGAGAGTGAGACATTTTTAAATAATTATGCTGAAAGAACTATAAAAAAGTTTTTCACTTTTTTGTCTGACAAATCAGTGCCAACAAGGAGCCTTGGTCTGTCAAAGGAGGAAGGTTATGGGAAGGGAGGGGGGGAGCTTCCATGTAACATTAAATTTGAGGTCTTCAACATAAATACATTTATTTGGTTTCAAATCAGGGGTCTCAGTAACCTCAGACTCAGAGTATACACTAATATTTATAGTATTATATTTATATAAAATACATTTTGTAACCAATGAAGAATTTTTTATACTTTTATCTAGAAATCAAATTGACCATTTAGGTACAAAGCAACATACACCAACACAGGTCTGGATGTCCATTAAATTAAGTTTGAAAAATCCTTTAATAAAGTTTAATTTTTATGCCTCTTTTTATTGATTAAATTGTCAATTTAATTTTCAATAATCTATGCATTGGTACTGAAGTGCTCATAGCTCCTTTAGACATCAGATCAGCTAGGCTAAATCCGTAAATCACATAAGTCATAAGGAAATAGTTAATACAGGAACTTATTCAAACCATCAAACTTTATGCAAAGGAAACAACATCATTACTCAAATCCCAAATGCTCAATATTAGCACCATGGAGTCAAACTGACTAATATTCATATTTTACATTCTCTTTATTTTTATTATAATAATTACCTGGCTTTTGAACCCCATTGGAAATAATTCTAATATTTAATAGTAATAGGTTATCATCCATCATTCCTTACTTTGTATTTCATTGTACATTTATTTTTTTAATGTAATTTCTACATTGAATGCCAAATAATAAAACAAATCTTAATCAAGTAAAGTGAATTCAGAATTTGGATTCCTTTGGTTTAAAATACATCACAATTAACCTGAAAATTTACTTCCAGTGGGATCCTTCTAGTGATGAATTGGAAATACACTAGGAGACAATCCCCTATTCTTTCCAAAGAGTGTCTGTGTGCTATACTTTCAGATGGAGAGGCTCATATGCAAGTTTCAATAACACACACTCTTTCGAGACATTGAAACATTAAAGAACGTAAAAAAAAGGTTGCAGTTACAACGGTTTACCGGTATATGTCTCAACTGAAAGACAGTGCACTACCTTGTAAAACTTCCTATCAAGCATGATTTGCCATATTTTATATAAAAAGAATTAGAAGTTTTATATACTGTTGGGAGTGGATCCATATTCTGATGGCCTTGAACATTAGTCTTTCAGTCATGAGTCTGATGATAAGAGGTACCCAGGGGGCTTACACTGGGGGAGAAATTGTGGTAATGAGAGGATGTTCAATGTTTAATATAGATTAACATTGGAAGGTCTTTAAAGCTGTCTAGATATTTTTATTTGATTCAAATGTATAAATTTGGCATGAACAAAACGACAGACACGTTAATGATTGAAGGATAAAAATGATGAATTGACATAATGCCATTTTACCATGACATTAAAACTACATGACAATGATAGAAATTATGACTTAAAAAAAAAATACCATTTTAATATAAGCGTGTCAAGCAAGGTAGCTCCTAAATGCAGCAAAAACTTTTATAAGTTTACGGTCAAGTTTACCATACACTTAAACTTATTCAACCCGCTTGATTCTTAACAAGCACTTTTATCCATTATCTTACATACCTTAAGGCTTTTATATCAACCAAATACAAAGTGGTTCCAGAAAGATTACCAAAGGGCAAGAAAATGCATTATGTTTGTGTGGTTAAGCCTTATGCTATGCAGACTACTCCAGCTGTATTCCATTGCTTTTTTTGCAGCAGATACTGGTGATTTGTCTTTTTCTTTTAAGCTTTTCTCAAGCTTTTCTCAACTTTGAACAAAACCCTACCGTACTGTACAACAATGGACAATATAATCAACCTAGCTTGTAAAACAGCAAACGCTGCCCATCCTCTGCATATGAAAATTTTATTAAAAATTTGTTTCAATTTTTAAAGAGTTAATAATTTGACATTGTGTAGTATTTTAGATGTTCATATCTTCAACAAAAAATAATTTATGTCACTATTTCTTCCTTTCTATTTGTTTTATAATAAAACTTTGTTATAAGAATTAAAGTAATTGAATAATAACCTATCCTTGATATTATTAAAGAATACTCTAACTTTATGGAACATTATGCAGAATTATAGTTATGTATTATACAATTATGTAATTACATATAAATTTATAATAAATATATCTGCTGAAATGATACATGCATGTCATCACAAGATGGCTCACTTCATGGAACCACCATGTGAGGTTTTTATTTTATCATTATTTAATTTTTTGGTTCAAGTTGACTACATTACAATATAATTCAATCGCAATGATATAATCTAAAAATATATTTATATTTTAATGCACAATGATTTTTCTAACTATAAGTTTCTAACAAACAAAATCTAATTTGATAACGGATCAAACTCAGTATATAAATATACTGTACTACAGTAGTAATATGGTTCAATTTTTATCTGGGGTATGTTTAAAAATATTAAAATATGGAGTCTGTGTTCATTCCATTTTAAAGGGGTCATATTTTAAGTCACAATTTCATAAAACACTGTTCATACTTATATACCTTTCTATTCATCAATATTTTGCTCAAATAAATATATTATTAAACCATAATATCGCCTTTATTCTGTTTAGCACATGAATCAACAAAACTGTTTACATCTACTTTTAACCCATATAATGGTGTGAGTATTTATTCAGTCTGAATTTCTATGAAAATTAACAATTTACCTTATACAACAATTTTATGCGTAATGACAGCTTCCTTAATTCAACTTCTCCTTCATAAGCCAAAATGTCTGGACTCGCCTTTGGAAGCCAGGCCCGAATCTCAAATGCCTCTACACAGCATGTCAACTAGGTTAATATGAGAAGAAAAACAAATTTCGAAGTTATTAGTGACTTCTTGAAAGAGGCAGTGAGGCATGTTTGATCCCTTGTGAAAACATATAACTTTAGGGGTGACTGCAACGGCATTCCATTATTGGGGTACGTCTTTATTGTGATTGGTTGAGAACAGTGGTTGAAAATTACACAGGCTGACTCACCAAAACAACAGACAAATTTACAAATTTCTAGGTTCTGTTCTCCATTTAAAGTGTATTATTTATACTTTATGCTTCATATCATCTTTTATTCAAATACCGTAAATGCTCGCACCAATCCTGATTTTTTTTTTTGCTAAACGCTGCTCTCGAATAAGACACAAGTATTTGTTTACAAACATTTATTTACGATGATGTAGGATCTATGATAGGCCTACTGAACTACGGGAATACGTGAGACAGGTAACATAGGAACAGGCATGGAAAGTGCCATGCCAATATTTTTTTATAAGCGCTGCTCTCGAATAAGCGTGCTTATTCGAGCATTTACGGTACTATAATGGTTACATATTGGATAAACCAATTGGTAGTTCGAACTGTGCATGCCCGTATCCAATTTAAATTAAGTTCTTAGAACCGTATTCTTTGTTTATCATAACCATATCCTATATTTTTCATTGAGTACAAGTTTTAGGATTGGAGTTATTACAATAACTTTAGTTATTGTAATAACTCCAATAACTTTATTTATTGGAATTATTACAATAACTAAAGTGCATTCATACTTTAATACGACAAAATAAAAGATACCAGAAATTTTATTTGTCCTCATATAAAAATACTGTATACTAAGAAATTTTGGTAGCCAAAAAAAAAAGTTTATAAAAAAAACAACAATTTAAAATAATATTCATATAATATATAGCATGATGGTTCGGCTGCTGAGCTAAAAACTTCTGCTAGAGGTTGTGCATACTTAGTTGGGAAAATAAAACATTTGTCCAACAGAAATTCAATTTCCTATATGGTAGAGTCAAGTAGAATAATTGTACATACTAAATATGCCACTCTGCTGTATACATTCTCTATATAAAACCATCTTTTCCAATCATCTCATTGATTGCCAGTAGTTTTTGTAGCATATTGTTATGCAAAAACAAACATTGGAGTTGAGGTGGTAGCCAAATGTTGTCAAATAATATCAAAATACATGAATTAGAAAATCTGGTTAAAGAAATCTATCAAGGATTGCAGCAATAAATATCTTGGTTTGAACCCGTTAAATCTAGGCCCAGTGAAAAGCACAAATTATACTCAACCCATCACCATTTTACCCTGCAGAAAGTCATGTCAAACTTGGGTGAAGATGATCAAATTACAGCAAACCACTGTGTGCTGATGTAGCTAACTTACAAGATTTCCCGCCTAGGCGTGGCTTTTAAATGAGTTAAATTAAAAATAAAGGAATCTAATACACCAAAAGTGGATTAGAAATACGATTTGTTTACGAATTAAGAAACATAGAAACATATTTTACCTGAAACTTGTAAACTTTTTCTGCAACTTTCGTCAGTCAACCTTCGCGCTGCCATCAATAAACAAATGAGGGCGGTAGACGCTCAATAACTTCGGCTCTGGAAAAAACTAAATCTAAACTGATGATAGTGTGTGCATACGATGAACACTGAACTACGCTAGAGAATATATTTTTGATTTAAACGAAAAATATGAAAAGTAAATAAATAATAGTTATAAAAAAAGATAATCAACTGATTAATTTCCAATGTAATTAAATATAAGACAGACTTCAAGTGTACTTGTTTTACCGGTGTTTACTATAAAAAAAAAAAATTAAAAAAAATAACGGTAGGCCTATTATCACCAGAAGTAAACTTATTCCCAAATTGAATTGAATTAAGTTTAATTTAGTGAAGGAAATATGAAAATTCCGGATTGAAAAATATTTTAGTTTTATCCATATTATATCAACAACAAAAAAGACATGATTTATTTAATGCTTATTTATACAGTTATTGAGATTAATAGCATAACCCTCATCCGTCGGATTTTTAATGAAATACCAAAGAAACAATAAATTGACAAAAAATAACTACAATTAAGCATAGTCCTATCATCGTTCGAACAAAAGACCCTGAGTACGGGTGGTACGCATAATAAATACATTTCGATGGTTGTGGATACCGTACTCGGCCGAAAGCTCCGGGCGCTGAACTTTTTGAGTGGCGGTTATTATGAAAACAAGTGGAAATGGGGGCACTTATGGAAATAGAGGAAAATTGATGGGGTTCTTATTATGGGAACTTGGAAAATTCAAGGGGCGCTTTTATGAATGAAAACAAGATTATATAATACAAATACAAATACAAATTTACATAAGAGCAGATGAAATTAGTGGTGGTGGTAATGGTTGTCGTCATCTGCCGATTGAGATTTACAGGATCATTGCAGGGTTTGTAAACTCAGATGAGAACGTGCTAAAGGTACAAAAAATTGTCGAGGAAAAAAAAGAGAAGTGACTAGACAAATGTAAGAGAGGAAACTTGGAAGAGTAGAGTTGGAAAGATTCATGTCCAGGAAGCTGTCATCTATCAAGGAGAAATATCCTCATTTTGAAATTGAATAAGAAAAATATGTCCCAGGATTGATTGGATTATTGACTTGCTAAAAAAAAATCACATGATATTTTTGAGAGGCGCTTATTCAATTTCAAACGGGGCAATTAACAACATTTTCAAGTTAGGAGAGGGGCGCTTATTCAAAAGGGCGATTATTCACGTGAGTACGTTACCATGTGTTATCAGTTCCACATTTACAGTAAAATTGAGGGGCGTTTAATTGAGCATAATAAGTATCCATTTTACACCAAAAAAAAAAATAATAATAATAATAACTAAACACCTTCTTCGAAATACGACCTCTCAAATCCCTTCTCAACAATAAACGCCCCCGTGTCGTTTATTCGAATTAAAACGGTACAGTATGCTTATTTCAGTAAAAAAAAATGTTAAGATTTAATAATGATAACTGTGTCATTGCGTATTATTTTTATTATTATTATTATTGTTTCATTATATAATGCATATTTTAATTATTAACAAATGTTGAAAATACCTTATTCGAATAAACGACTAGGGGTTTTTGTTGTTGAGAAGTGGTTTTGAGGGGGCGTATATGCAATGGTCGCTCTTTGAAAAACAATGTACATTTTCGCTAAACCCCGCCCCTTGGATGTTGTTGCTAAGGTCCCACTAAACAATAGCGTAAAATATAAGTTGTCTGCCTTTGTTTGCACAATTCATATACTGTTTTAGTTCACTTTACAGAACATATCAAAAAATAGGTGAAGAGTGCGACATTTTACAGTATTGATAGAGCGACTCCTACCGGTTCTCGGTGTCGATATTAAATTCCAATGGTCTGTGCTCAGCCCATGAGCGATTTTATGGGTTAGAGCATGGACCTATATATAGGTCAATCCTGGGACATATTTTTCTTATTCAATTTCAAAATGAAGATATTTCTCCTTGATAGATGACAATATACTTGCCATGAATCTTTCCAACTCTCCTCTTCCAACTTTCCTCTCTTTCATTTGTCTAGTCACTTCTCTTTTTTTTCCTCGACAATTTTTAGAGTACCGCTAGTATAGGTCTATACTGTAACATCAGAGAGTGGTAACAGGCCTAGGACTTATAATTTCGTCTGCTAGGTCTATGTGTCTATATATCCATTGGCGTTTTGTCCATTTGTAATTCCCATGTCTGTAGGGATTTTTAATATATTCAATTATTGGTGCCATAAGGCCTATTTTGTATTTATTGCAACATCTATCGTTTTGCAACGTGTTGCTTGACGAAGGAGCGAGCATTCACATACGTCAGGAGCTAAAGTTTTTTGGTGTAACTTAGCTGTTTTTGTGAAAGGAAAGACATCTGCCCCAGTATCAATGTGCTGAAGTATAAGTGGGCAATCGTGCTTCTTGTTAAAGAAAGTAAACCTGATTATGTCGTATTAGACTAGAACTTTATGTTTAGTATTAGTTTCGAGTTTTAGTTTATAATGGCCTTGGATTTTATGTACTGTATTTTCATTACTGTATATGACCAATAAAATGAACTTGAACTTGAATTTGAATAACATTGAATAATAGTTGTTTTACAGTATTTGTATCATTAAGTTGTGAGACGAAAGAGGGCGCTGTTAATAATGACGAATGACAAAATCCAGGGACTGACGTAGAAAGTTGATCGTACTTTCGTAGGTTGCTGCACTTAAGTCCTGGGACGTAGTGCTGTCTCTTATACACATCTAGATGTGTATAAGAGACAGGCATAACCCTCATCCGTCGGATTTTTAATGAAATAGCAAAGAAACAATAAATTGACAAAAAATAACTACAATTAAGCATAGTCCTATCATCGTTCGAACAAAAGACCCTGAGTACGGGTGGTACGCATAATAAATACATTTCGATGGTTGTGGATACCGTACTCGGCCGAAAGCTCCGGGCGCTGAACTTTTTGAGTGGCGGTTATTATGAAAACAAGTGGAAATGGGGGCACTTATGGAAATAGAGGAAAATTGATGGGGTTCTTATTATGGGAACTTGGAAAATTCAAGGGGCGCTTTTATGAATGAAAACAAGATTATATAATACAAATACAAATACAAATTTACATAAGAGCAGATGAAATTAGTGGTGGTGGCTCCCCTTACGTATGAAAAAAAAAATGTTGCACATACTTTTTTGATTTATCAATGTCTACTCTACATCATATCCAATTTTTAACAAATATAGCAAAAAAAAATGCAACCTCTGATATTGCTACATTTCAGACTGGACTATAGGTTGGCTATCATCATTTTTGTGCAGGGAGTTGGTATGCGGTGCCAGGTGCTGGTGGTTTGCCAAAGAAAGGACAGTTTGTTAATGGCCTTGGATTTCTCTTTTATTCTGTATGCTTGATTGGTTCGGTTGAAACTCAGAATATTGAAAAATTCCTAGTACAGTGGTAGGACTTTATACCGTATAATTGCCAGGGGCGAGGCTGGTTTTGGTTTGTGCGTGTGTGTGGTGGGAGAAGGGATATGTGAAATTTAAGAATGTGGAACTAAATCACTATTCCAATGTAATGAAATGGTCATTTAATTTTTATTTTAACGAAACTTAATGGAACTATTTGCTGTCATGAGGGCAGGAAACGTGCATCCCCGACCTACGCCCATGATTGCGTATCTTGTAGTCTGTCATACTTTAAAAGAGGTGGTGTTTTTGATTTACAGAAGGGATAAAAACATAATGATATGAACCTTTTCAACAACCATTTTCTCCTAGTTTTATGTTTTTTTACACATTCTTATACCATTGATTTCAATTTACATAAAATATGACACTAAATAAAAAATGCATTTTTCACTGCAGACACAAGGGGTTGAACATGGGACCCTGGAATTGGAAGGCAAGCATCTTAACCACCAAGCTATTCAACTCCCATTAAATTTTATGACTGCTCTCTGCTTGTGAAAGTGGTAAAGAGGGCAGCTGTATAAATAATTATTATTAACACAAATTAGTATTAATGCTAAGGAATTTAAGCATGCCCACGGCACAAACTGTTGTTCAAGCGGATGTCTGCACATGTTTTTATTTTATTTATTTGAAAAAAATGAAATCAATACCTGAAATGAAATATATAGAAATGAATACCTGTATCTTATAAAGATAACATTATTTTTACATATAAGATAACATTATTTTTACATCTTAACAGATCTTCATCAACAATGAATGGCGAGATGCAGTAAGCGGCAAGACCTTTCCGACTGTCAACCCGGCAACTGGTGATATCATATGTCATGTGGCCGAGGGAGACAAGGTAAATAATAGAATAACGATGAGAAAAGCTCATAATAAGCAGTAGCTATTGTTACACCAGTCGTAAATGAATTCATAATTCTTATTTGATGTTATTTTTTTTTTTTTACTACAAAATTTAGCCCCACGGTGATGTGGAGATTGTAGCCTACTATCTTAGTAGGGCTATGGTCAACACTTGTATACTTTTTCATACTTTATTTTCTTTATTTAGAAATTTAAACCTGATTAATTTATCTTCTTTCCTTTCTGAACTAGGCTGATGTTGACATTGCCGTGGATGCAGCCTGTGAAGCCTTTAAGTTTGGAGCACCATGGCGACGAGCAGATGCATCATACCGAGGGGTTCTTCTCAATCGTCTTGCTGATTTGATAGAAAGAGACAGAGACTATTTAGCGGTAGGTTGTTATAAAAAGAAATCCAGCGGATATTTAATAATTTTTTTGTATTAAAAAGTGTGAAAAACAGCATTTACATGTCTGCTTCTAAAGTCCCCTTTACAAAAAGACGACTTTTATAATTAAAGACCAATTTTCTGTGGGCCCCCCTCCCCCCATGTAAATACATCTTTCATTTCTATAGTAATTATGTACAATGGTTTTTATTTGTATTTTAGCAGTATAGGGTTTTATGTTTAATGGATTTATGGTTAGAATTTAATTTTTGTATTTTAAATTTGACCATTATTTTACAAAGAATGTCTGAGAGAGTGCTTGATTATTGACTATAGAAAGGAAATGAGTGCCACTTATAGACTAGTGACACAAGTATCGAGGCAGAAGCATTTGACCTCACAATGTATTTCGTGCACTGTATATTTCTATTGATAGTTATTCTAAAAAGACTGCTATAGCTATTCATATTATCATCTATAGACAGGAAATTCTTCTATTGAAACCTAAATGATCTGGTAGATCAAAATACTTTCAATACAGTCTAGTCTACATTCTATTCTTCAGTACAATACATACAGTAGTACATAATACCTGACATAGATTGCTATGTGAACTTTGCATTGAAAACATAGGGGGCAGACATTCTGTTATTATGAACTACTGCACTGTACTATAATATAGTATAAAATGCTGCTGCTGGCTCCATATTAATTGTGACCTTGGCTGTGGTTTCACTCTACCCTAGATTACTTGGCAAGCTACCAACAATGCATAAATTTAACATGATGACTGCTTAGGCTTAACATATATTCTTATTATTAGGATCTATGTGCCTCATCCTATGTTATTTTATTATTAAATTTCTTTTTATTGTTACTAAAATGTACGTTATATCTAAACATTTATGAAGATTATGTTTTTGTGCTTTTTATATCAGTTTCAATCTGATTCAGTTCTTGACTTCTTGATTGTTTATTTTTTATTTAAAATTGTATTTAATAACCCACCCAGTATTATTAAGCAATTAGTACTGAGTTGCATATCATACACTAATTAAAATTATTGTTATTGTTAAAATGTATTATTATAATATTAAATATAGGATAAGATAGAGTAGTTTCCATTAATATAACTAACAGTTGGTTATCTGGTTTTTAACATTTCATTTTTTGTCGTTTTGCTTACTCATCGTTGCTGTGTTTTTAGGTGAAGCTGAGGGCTGCATGGTTGAACACACACACACAAAGGCTACCACCAGTTTAAACTGATTAACCTTTCATGAATATATAACTGTAGTAATAATAATATTGTTAGTATAAAATAAATGGTTTCTGTTTTAAATTCTCTATTTAAATATTACCTTTCCGTCAAGATGGGCTTTTTTTCAAGGCTATTTTTGCAAAGTAAAGAGAGGGGCTTCTTTTCAAAATGAATGCTGAAAATTTTGGGAATTACTACTATAAAACAATAAGTAGGGCCATTATAACATCAGTCTATATCTTGGAGTATATTAACCGGCATTAAATCACCTTACCTTATAAACCAAGCATGTTTTTAATTGTATATTTTGTTTCTTTGAAATTCATGTACAGTGTATATACTTTACAGTCTTGAAAAGGAGCCCATGCTATCTTGAAAAGAAGCTCATTGGTTTCTTTTCGAGAGGGGCTTCTTTTTGATGCTAATATTGCAAACTAAAGAGGTGCTTCAGTTCGAGATGGGCTTGTTTTCAAGATTAAGCCCATTGGGCTTCTATTCGAGGTTTTACGGTATTAGATAGTTTTCAAATCATATATATATATATATATCCAATAGAGAAAGTGATATGAATTATGCAAGTATATTTTTTTATACCAGAGTCTCGAGACACTAGACAATGGGAAACCATTTCATATTGCACATGCAGGAGACCTCGAATTGACCATCAAATGTTACAGGTTGGTTCATAATTGTTGTTTTCATAATTTTGCAAATACTATAACAAGCCAATGATAATGATGATAATGATATTTACAAGGTGTCGATGGATTTATCAGTATTATAAACAATAATTATAAAATCACTAATAGAAAATATTGACCCGAAGGAACTATTATTGGCTGAAAAATATTTTGAAAGTCAAAAAATTGAAAATGTATTGCGCACTCATAGACAAGAAAATTACGTTGAAGGTAAAAACTTGACTCGCATTTGATTATATAATTATGAACAATCTTGTGTTAAGCTGCTTAATACATGTTTGCCAATTGGAACAGAAGCCTCCATTTACAAAAATATATAAAGAAAGAAAAATATTCTATATACACATTGCAACACCTGTTTAATTCTGCCGTAGTCTCCTTAAAGTCTGCACCTTTAAATTTCATTACAGTGTGCTCATGATCAATCTAATACCTGTTTTATTACTTTTTTTGGTCCAATGCCCAATACCTGATGATATCGACATGATGCATTCTTCTGTTTATATTATGATGATTCCACTTGTATTGTAGGGCCCTCAACCACATCCTAACCAGGGATTTGGGTAAAAACATTCCAACCTTGAACCATGGAGGAATTAGTTTAAACTAAACTAGTTCCTCCATGCTTGAACCAACTAGTTCCTCCATGCTTGCCCCAACCCTACAACATATGCTAGATCCATTATGATGTATGGTCCTGGCAAGTAATTATGCTTTTGTTTTGGTGCAAATTTCCATCTAATTTAATACTACTGTATACAATGGTTTGTTTCGTATATTCACACACATGTGAATACAACATTATTATAATCATTTACTTTAACGTACTGGATTATCTAGAAATATGTAGGTATTGTTATTCTTACGAAATCGTTAGGAAAAATATGTTATCGTAGTGAATGCTCAGTATGTTCCCAAATGCTTGCAAAAAAAATCCTGCAAGTGATTTGTGTGGGAATAGAACTCACGACCTCCAGATAACTAGCCTGGTCTCTTAACCACTCGACCACCGAGAGCTTCCACTTGGTAGTTGATGATGAATCCGATCCTTAAGTAGCCGTGGGTACTGCAATTATATTCTGATAGTGAATGCGTATAATAAGCAATTAGTAGAGCTTCGCATAGTACACTATAGGAAAATTATTATACAAAGGTTCGATTTAATGCTTGAAAAAATTTTCTGAGTGCTTGCAAGGCCCGAAGGAAATTTTTGAATGCATTAAATCTAACCTAAGTATAATAATTTTCCATTTAGTGTACGATGCATGCTCTACTAATTGCTTTATAAGTCAATCGCCATCTTTTAATTTTAGTTTTTTATAACCAACTGTTGTAGCAGTCATCGGTTGCTATAGTGATATGATCAGTATACATGTGCGTATTTACATTTAGCTGTGCGTATGCTGATTTTTGCTCCTGCAGTACGTGTTTAATTAACTACACATCAGCAGTACAATACGGATACGATGAACAAATATTGTGTTAGAAAGAACCAGTAGTACTGTAGTAGGAGGAGGCCCGGGCGGCCTCTTGCCTGGTCATAGGCCTACATCTAAATTTGTTCCTTGAGGCTTTAAAATAGGTCTAGAATATTCCTGTTAAACGTTCAGTTTGTTGTGTTTATGAGGGTCCATTGATTCAATTAATTCCTTTAATTGTTTATACTTAACATTGAATTTGAAATAACTTTCTTCGGGTTCTAATTAAACTTGTTTTATGAAAGTAATTTTCAATTACAATTCAACTTTTATCGCGGTGCGCGATGTATTCGCGGTGATGAAAAAATTAGGAATTTCTTTTGCACACGAACCTAAAAAAAATCAAGCCAAGCCTCCTCCACTAATAGAAAAATTAATGGACGCTGGGGAATAGGCAAATAACATTGGGAGTTAAAGTGATGACGTCACGATTGACTTATAAAGTATATTATATGCAGTTATTTTCATCATCTTTATATGCTACAAATATGATATTAATATTTGTCTATGTAGATATTATGCTGGATGGGCTGACAAGAATCATGGCAAAACCATTCCTATTGGTGAGTTTAAGTCAACCAACTAATTATGAGTCTACAAAGGTCAAAAATACTTTGAAAATAATTATGTATTACCATCATACATTTGCATTATTGAAAAACTTTTATTCCTCTATCCCCTATCAATTACAAGGTATCAAAATGGCATACAGTATGTTACATTGATCCTTTGACCTTTTAAACATTTTTTTGTCAGAGGAAAACAAATTTGCAGTTGTTTTATTGGACAGTAAAACGTTATACTGTATTATCTGTTTATTGTAAATACTAATAATATTAATTAAATACTATTTGGAATTTTAATACAATTTGGATTTCCTAAATAATAAAATCTGTTTTCTAGATGGTGACTTTTTTTGCTTTACTCGTCATGAGCCTGTTGGTGTTTGCGGCCAGATCATTCCGGTAAGTATTCTTCAGTATCCGGTCAAAGAACACAAATCTTAAAAAAATATTTCATTCCTGTTTTCCTTGTAAATATTTGAAAATGTATTGCTATATACTTGCAATGAAATTGTCCTGTTAATGTCCTGTTATATTGGTAAATAATGTTATTGTAAAAATGATATTTGTATTAGCTTTTAATAGCAGGCCAAATAAAATTAATATTATTTGTATGATAATTACAAAATCATGACAATTTAAGGCTATGTTCAGGCTTGGAGATAAGCCAGGCTTATGTTAAGCCCGGTTCTACATTAAGCTCAGCTTAACTTTGCCCAGCGTTCAGACTAGCAGGATTAGCCAGGCGAGAGAATTTGCCTATTCATGAATCGTAACCAGGAAACAAGTTTCAAAACATTGCGTGCGAAACATACGCTCGCTCAAAGCACACGTAATTGAATGCTGATTGGTCATTTTTTTACATGAGGCCAAAGTGAGACCCGCAGCGATTAAAGCCCGGCTTAGAAAAGTTAAACACGGTAGCACGCCAGGCCTAGTAACTATAGGAACACAGCTGCGATAAGCCACCTAGTTCAGACTGGCAGGTGGATAAACCCGGTGAGTTGAGCTGGGTTCATCCACCTAGTCTGAACTAGGCCTATAGCTATCCTAATGATGTTAATTTGTTCTATATATAGTGGAACTTCCCCTTATTAATGCAAGCTTGGAAGTTAGGCCCTGCTCTTGCTACGGGTAATGTTGTTGTGATGAAGTTGGCAGAACAGACACCACTCACCGGCTTGTACGTTGCAGAACTTATAAAAGAGGTAATGCTTTATGTTAGGGCCATAAATTTACCCCAACCTTTAGAATTTATTTAGGAGTGAGAGGAGGTGTAAGTGCCTGAATTCCAGGTCATAATTTCTTATGTTGTCCTCTGTATTATTTAAGGACTGTGCCACCAATGAGGCTTTTTCTCATTGCTCTTATTTTCTGCAGCTGTACTCTATAGAAAGTTGATTTAAGTCTAGTGGTGAGAAGGAAGTTGATTAATGAATATTTTTAACTTCAAGCTTTTATTATTCCAAATTGCTTAAAACAAATTATTCTATACAAAATGAGTAAAAAATTCTATTTATCTTAAAAGGGTCTTTTGTTCAGCCTTTTCGTGGCCTATTATTGTTATTATAATGGCCTGTTACCATGATTAAGTTTTTGAACTAGAAATTTTAGTAAGGACATTTAACTATACGTGTTTGCAGGCTGATTATCACAACTGTACAATTTGTATAACCAATATTACAGAATCTTCAAATATTTATCTTTAATCAGTTTCTGATTGATAGGTGTCCATACTGTCAGAGAACATTAACAGTGGCGGATTCAAGGCTAATTTTTCAAAATGTACAAAAATTGATAAAAACACAAATTTATAATCTGGTAGTGCCATTTCTGGCCATCTAGAGATGCCATAATCATAAATTTTCTTACCTCAGCCCCAACCATAGGGCTGAGATGATACCTTCTACCTCTGACAGTCCCTCCCCAGACCACCTCTATTTCAAATTCATGGATCTACCTCTGATTAATGATGCAAATGATTTTCTGTCAGAGCTAATTTTTAACTTTTAATAACAAAATGTATTTTATTTTCACGGAGAGAAACTGGGTAATCGGTGTAGTGTACAAATCTTGATGGTGACTTAACTTTTCTGACATTATTTTGTATCTCTGTAGGCTGGTTTCCCACCAGGTGTTGTTAACATCATTCCAGGCTACGGTCCCACTGCTGGAGCAGCAATTGCAGCTCACAAAAAAGTGGACAAGGTTGCATTTACTGGATCAACTGAAGTGAGTTTTATCTGGTTGCAATCAAAACTATATATATTGACATACTCATAAAGGGAAAATCCCTATTAATATATCTTTTAAAACTGTGGCCAACCCCTATTGAGGGGCAATTGGATCTGTAGTGGTCTCCTTAGGTGTTCTACTGTAATGCTTTTTGATGTATTTTAAGCCGGGCACTAACTGCTGTACGCGACGATTCCAACTCCACTCCCCTTTAGCGTTAGATGATGCGACGTTGTGGATTGTTGGTGGCAGTCAATTTATTGTCATGTATCATGTAGTGGCATTGCGTTTTCCATGCAATTGTGACAGCAGACAAGAGACGGGCGCAATGACTGCCCAGCTTTGCATCACGTACATACAGATTATGCGAGGTTCCATACTATACTGTATCATAGTCAATCATTAATGGGAAAAAAATACAAAATACAGTACAGTATTTTAATAACTTCAAAATCGTAGCAAAAACATTTAATTGAACATTTTATAAATAATTCAGAAATACTAATATTTGTTAATAGTCTTCTGTGTATTTTTTTTTTTTGCTTCTGCTTTATATTAATTTTTTTCATGGAATTAAATTCTTAATACATATGGTATAGAAGGAAATTCTTGTTATTCAGGTCAAGTTCTCTGAAGTGATCCGTTAAGGAATGCATTTTATTGGAATTGGTGGAAAAACAAGGATCAACATTTTTTCTATATGACTGTCCAATCACCAATAGAAGGACCCCACTAGAAATAAGACTTGTGTGGGTTTTCCTTGGTATTTTCACCGAATTCTGTACGTCCAATCCAATCTGTCTCTAATAGATTACTTTAAAATAATGGATATTTCCAACAGATTGGTAAGGTAATTCAGAAGGCAGCTGGTGATACCAACTTGAAGCGAGTCACTTTGGAGCTTGGCGGCAAGAGTCCACTCATTGTGCTGAAAGATGCTGACTGTGAGTATATGTTATCAGCAATCTCAATGCCATTAAGGGGAACTGGAAGATATCCTCTTACTCAGATTCTTTCCACCTTCTAGCTAACGATTTTTTTTACAGCTGGCAAGCACCATAATAATTGCCCCATTGATATGGTGCAAATTACATTTTTCATAAACTTTTCTGGATATTTTTTTAAAATTGGGAGAAACCCGCGATTTTCTTTTAACCTGGATGTTTATCCTTAGATGTAACAAGAATTATTTCCTATTAAAAAGATGCTGCAACACCTTTAACTTATACAGCTGGTTTGTATTCCCAAACTTTATAAAATAACATATTCTAGAGGATGATCTACCATTTTCAGGGACGAATCCAGAGATCTCCGAAAGTAAGGCCGATCAAGACAACCCTACCCATAGGGTTGTCTTGTTTTTTAGACGCTCGATAATAACCTCTGAGGTGTTTTGAGCGATCAATTTAATATTACTATTTCTTTTTTTCTTTTTAACTTTTCAAAAGGGAAGGCCAGGCC